CTGCCAAACACTCTGGCGTCAAGGTGGTGACGGTCCACTGCTCAAATACTCCTCTGGTGATGACCCAACGAGCCGCAGGTGTGAGGGGGAAAAAACCAGAAGAGGCCCTCCAGGCCAAACAGGGAAAGGGCACCATCTAGTGGGTAAGAAACTAAAAAGAAAACACAAAAATATTCCGCACAAACAGAACCCTAACAGGAATAAACATTTAAGAAAGAAAAATCCTTTTTAAATAAAAAAAAAGGTCATGGAAACTACCTGTGATAACCTCAAAAATTAGGACCCAATATTTAGACAGACAGACCAGAACAATTTTCAACAGGCTTTATTGTTAAACCAAGGTGAACAGTGATCGCTGTAATTCAGCGAGGGTGTAGAAGCAGATTCTCTGCATAGATGGCAGAGGGAGCAAAGTGTCTGTGAGGGGAATCCAAACCGAGGTCAGTGAAACAGTCCAGGATCAGTAACCAGCCGGATCCAGGAAAAACAGTACAAAAAAAAAACAGACAGAGCAGACTAGGGCAGGGCAAAAAACTTAATTGTCCGAAACAGAAAAGGAGAACTTTTTGAACCATCCTCCATTTCTTTCTTCCTCCCACTCTTTCTGCCATCTTATTCTAATTCTTTTCTTAATTACAGATTTCATTTCACCTTTACAATATGGTATTATATCAATTAAACTACGTTTATTTGCTTGATTTGCTTATTTATCTGCAATCTCACTCCCTTCTAACTATCAAACTAAACTATTATTCCCATTAATTTAATTCTAAATGATAATTGCTGAATATCCACTAATAGATCAGGTCTGCTGTCTGAATTATTTGAATGAATAAAACAACTATTTTTGGAATCAGGGTAAACTAAGCTTCTTAATGGATGGATTTCTTAAATCCATTGTAACGCCAATATATTCACAAACATTTGTCCTATCTAAACTGAAACTCCAGCAGTGATTTTTTTTTACCTAATTTAAAATTAAATTCTGGAGCTAAAACTAAACATCATTCCTATTATAAAAAATATTTTTTTAAGCTTCCATAAAATGTGAAAATATCCAAAATATTTTTGATCTGAATATTGCTGAACTAAACTTGAATCTGAAATATCCTCCTAGTTTTTCCATTTAAACAGCAGAGATAAATTCCTATCAATAGCGAGACCTATAGACATAATATAAGAGTAGACCCTTATAACAGCTTTCGCCTATGGGTGCTGATGTGATGATGAAGATTATAACTGTATATCCAAAAAGATGAACTATTCTGAAAAACATCAGTTCTGACCCACCAGGTAGCCAATACCAAGGTATAATAAACTCACAGATTATCAATGATAATTATTCTAACTGCAATGATGGTTTGACAGGTCACTGTCTGAGTTTATCTCTTAAGATGTTTTGTTGAATTAAATGCCTGTACAAGTCGCCCTGTCAGTGTTTTGCACTTTGTAAGATTTGCGATAAAAGGAAAACAGCAATCCACTGAATAGAGATCAGTGATCCCATTTCCACCTCCAAAGTTTCAGGAGTGATTTGTCATCATAAAAGATTTTTATAAGCCAAAAATGAAAAAGCTGAGACTCTTTGTGTCCGATTTAGATAAGGGGGGACAAATTAAAGCAGAGACACACAGCCCTATAAAATCTGCAGCGAAAACTATGGTTGAAGTTCAATCCTGGTGTCTAATCATAATCTTAAGAAAGTTTATATTTCTATGGTGGATGTGTAGAGTTGATGGGGATACCAATGTTGGCAAAATGGGATGAAATAAAAACAAAGACTGTTTATTAAGGATAGTACAACATAGAGAAATTGTAAGTTAATATAGAACACATATAGATTTAAGCACTAAATTTCACATAGAAAAACTGTATTTTCCTTCTGGGTATAGTCTTTAATGATTACACCTCCATTTTCTATTTCATTTTTATTACAAGTATATGGTTGACAGCAATGGGATGAGAACATTTGGATACTTTTACCCCAGGCTCACACAGACTCCGGTCTTACCGTTGCGGTGCGGTGGGTGCGGCGCCGCAAGGATTCCAAGTCATTAAAAAGACGTAAACCTCTCTCACCGGCTGCTGAGCTGTCCGGCTGCGGTTACCGAGACACTCCGGCGCTGCAGAAAATTCCGCAAGAAAGCTATCCTTGCGGCGTGCCGGAGCCCTCCGCAACAAGCTCTCGCAAAAATCCTTTATTTGGGCCGTGTTATCGCGTGAAGTTACGTGAACTCAAGTGAACTTCTGTTAAATCTCCGGACCTGTTGCCGGAGCCGCAGAGCCGCACCGCACCGTAGTCAAAAGGGCGGTGTGAGAGGGGGTGTGCGGGAGTTGCGGTCTCCGTCGGCTCGGTAACTGCACCGGAGCCAGTGTGAGCAACAACGCGAGATTTTTCTAAGGAAGGTGTTGAAATGAACAAGGAGCTGTTTGCTTTCAGAGGAAGGATTAGACCCAGCTGTCAGGGATCCACTTTTAAGCAAACGCTCGTGTTTTTTTTTTTTTTAAATCAGTATAACTGGCAATATTCTGCTATAACATGTGAAGGGAAGAATAAAACAGAAAAGCTCATCTCACATAAACATAAAACGTTTCAAATTTCACGTTCAGTATGTCGGAATTGAGGCGGGGTGAACCATTTGGGTCGGCAGACCCTTTTCACAGGGACAAGTGCCCCGTTGTGGATCTGCGGTGCCCGGGGCATTGATTTTTAATTAATTAATTTTCCGTTTTCCCAGCTCTGCTCTCACAGCGGAGCTGAGAGAGGAGTACTCTCCAAAATAAGCCAGACACAACTGATCGACAGCTTTGCAAAAATGAAGCCGTCCAGAGACACTACCGTTAACTGTTAAAAAAAAATGAACATCCAGCTCTCTCATCTTTCTGGCCATGATATAAACACCTCATCATCACCATCACACCATCATAGGATATGCCCAAATAGAAATGATAAAGAAATTGAAATGGGGGAAGATGTGTTTTTTTTTTTCCTTTTACAGTTGCACATTTCAAGTTTTCAGTTTTCAAGTTCATGTTCATGTAAATCTTGTCTTCATCAGTAGTGGATTAGAGATATACGGTTAAGTTCACAAGTGGGTCAATTCAATTCAGTTTGGTTCAGGTAGATATTTAATGATGCAGAAAATAACAAGCTGATTGTACAATTTATTGATGTCGCTTTATAATAATAAATAAGTGCTATAAAATATTTGCTTGCGTGCTTGCATTAATTATCTGTGCCCATGCTTTTTTTTAAATGAATAATTGCCCTAAAAATCTTTTGCTCGCATTTTTTCTGGTGTCCTATTGTGCCCCTGTAGAGTGTTGGGTCAGCTGACGCCCCTGGAGTTAACTTAGTCAGCTCTTCCTACTCCATGCATGCTCTACCATGGACTCTCCTGTTGGCAAAATCTGTCTCACCTTGTCTCTTCGTAAGAACAATAAGTCAATCAGATCCCTCTTTCAGAGAGAGTTGGCGTCTGTTCCTGTTGTTGTTCCATATTGGAACCGATTTGTCCTGGAAACACACTTGGCTGTTACCCAATCACTTTCTTCTCACCAACAAGGTGAAGGAAGTCTCATTCAAACTCATTCACAGGATCTATCCCGCCAAAGACCACCTGATATTTTGGTGAACTGCACTTTTTGAGATCTTCTTTGTTCTGGTTGTGTCCATATTCTAAGACTTTCTGGCAACACTTTTGTAACTATGTGGATTCAAATATTTTAAATAATTTTCAGCTTCATTGGAAAGATGTTTTATTTGGTTTTCAACTGCAAAGTAAAATGTTTTCCAAACCTATCCTTATTAATCTTTTAATTATCTTGGCCAAATTTCGCTTGCATGAATTTACATTTCTAAAAAAAAAAAAAAAAAAAAAAAAAAAAAAAAAAAAAAGCCAGACTTAAATTTTTATTTAATTGAGTCAAGCAAGAAGGCACAAAAAACATAGCAATCTGTTCCCATTTAAAAATTCTGGACAACTTCATGTTTTAGAAGAAATATTTATTTGTATAATGTATATGTATACATACATATGCACACTAGGGGTGTGCAAAATAATCGTGATGATGATGCATCGTGATTCAAATTTTTGTGATCTACTGCATCGATTCTTGATGCCAAGAATCGATTATTAATTTAAAAAAATGAATAAATAAAACTGCATGAATGGTTGGCGAACATCAGCCAAAAACAAGTGCAATACCACTTCCAGTCCAGTAGATGTCGCTGCAAATGTGTTGACGCACGCTGCCTTGTGTCACAAGCATTTCCGGCCGTGGGATACTGTGCCGAGTCATTCAAAAACAAAACATGGAGGAGAAAATATTGCAATGCATCGCAATAATTCAAGTATCGTGATGCATCGTGATAGAATCGCGTCGTGGCCTGTGAATCGTGATTCGAATCGAATCGTAACTTCTTTGGCAATACCCACCCCGAATGCACACATGACACTCCCCAGCGCATATGTTTGTCAATCTCTTTGTCTTTCCTCCTGATTGTATTTATTATTTGTAACATACCCCCTGGCATATTTGTTTACTTGAATGTTTTATATATTATTGTTGACTTTAAGTTGAAAAAAAAAAAAAAACTTTGGCAAGTCACGAGCGAGTGACAAAGCAAAAATGATTTTAAGGCATTTATTCTCAGGAAATACATGATTAATTAACATATTATAGTTAAGTATGCTTGCTATTTTTTTGGAGGGAACACGTAATTTTGATTTATTTTACAAAGTAAAATCGAGGGTGACCCGGAAGTAGATGATGTGAAGGATCGGGTAGCATTAGCAGCATTAGCTTAGCATGTGTGTGGAGTCATTGTAGAGAGGCTGATAATCTGGGAGTGTTTGCAGTGAGAATGTCTTCAGTCCAGCTTCAAGGAGAGTTTATCACCGAGCAGTTAACTCCTGCTGAAGAAACATTCACGGAGTTTAAAGGAAAAGAGGAAGAGTTCAAAGAAGAAAAGATGGACGATCAACATCTACTGCTGGATTTCACCAGGATCCCCCAGATCATCTTACACCGGATAGGTAGGAAACACCTGATAGAAACGATTCCCTGATGATGCACACTGTGGATTTTAGCCTCATTTGATTGGAAAACTGCTTAGAGGAGATCAACATGCTAAGCTAAAGCTAACTTCCGGTTGGCAGCCATCTTACTACGGTCAGCTCGCTCACTGACAGCATTGGGTTTTAATAACTGCGGTCTAGTTAGTAATTTGCTCCGGTTAAACCTGTTTTTCGCGCAGATTTCACTGCAATCGGAAAAAGCCGTCCCTACCATAGAGATAATATATGAGTAGACCCGCATTGACTGTCACGGCGCAAAAATTATGGGCGCCATCTTGGGGAGGTCGCTTTAAACAGAACAGTAGAAGGCTGCCTCAGCATTGCAGCGTGTTTCTGTTTAAATCAACAGACTGCTGACATCAGGGTGCTCTGTGTCTGCACCCTGATGCTCTATCTCTCCGGTTCTTTTTCCTGAAAAGTGATCACTCAGCATAAACTCTTTAAATACCTTTTCATAACATGTATTAAATATCCAATCCAATTTAATTTTTTAAGGAATTAAAAACAACCACAGCTGATCAAAGAGCTTTATGTTTTAAGTAAAATACAAAACAGTATACATAAAAGCAGATAAAACATGGGTAAAAATATACTGTGCACTGTGTACTCTGTGCACTGTGTACTCTGAACAATAGATAATCTATATACAGCTGTGGAGATTTTAACTGTATTTTACAATATTTTTACAGTATAGTTATGTAGAGATGTATCTATCTATCGATATATCTATATATAGATATATTTATATAGATATATAGATATATAATCTAAAGGCAGTGGGTATGCAGCGCATGCAACGCATAGGGGCGCTGCACTCGAGGGGGTGTCAAAAAACCCCTCTAGAAAATACATTTTTCTAGTTGTCATGTTTTTTTTTAATCTGCGACTACCACTCGTGGTGCACACTTAACAGCAAGATGGAGCGCCAGAAAAAAAAAAAACATATCCGGGGCGCAAAACAGAAAAAGAAAAAGGAAGAAGGATAAAGTTGTTGGCGGGATGAAAAAAAAGCCTTTCAATGTGGTTGAAAGACAGTAGGTAAGTTCTGTCACTGTATCGACAACAGGAAAGGAGGGTTGTAAATATTCAGGTCAGATAAAGCTAGTCTGATACGGAGTCGCCCCATATTTGGCTGTTAAATGTTGCGCCCCCTATTGAAGCGATAAGGAACGCGATTTGTTCCGTATTTCTAGGAATATCTGATACATACGCCTGTAAACACACACATATCCACACACTAAGTGTAAGAATGACCGAAACAAAACTTGTGAAATATTAACACAGGAAAGCTAAAATTTTGTGGCCAGTGCCCAGCTATGATCCAACGCTTAGCCCTCTAGGCTGCAATTTATTCACTCATATGTACATTTCTTATTATTGATTTTTTAAATTAAAGATGAGTTGTACAAGTTTATGTGTGAATCAGACACATTAATCCAGTGTCATTATAGCCCTTAGACTCTGTGACCCATGTTACCACCTTTTTGGCAGGGGGACACTGGAGTTTAAATGTTTTATTCAGTATCACTACAGTGGTGTTGTGATGTATCTGATAAGTCAGATCAGATGCAGTGTCCACTCAGTAACTGTTATCCAACAAGAAGATAATTCAAATTTAAATATAAATTTTTATTGTAGTTTGACTGCTGTATTTTTTAACCCTACTTAACATAACATTCATTTAATTCAGCTGTGAGGATGGAGAGAAAGAAGAGAAGATGACAGAGGACGAATCAGGATAGACAGGGGAAACCAAAAGGTTGGTCTAATATTAGGTGGAAGTGAGGGAACAGCTACTTAATCCCAATCGATAATGTTTAAACATTATTTTTAAAAACTGTATTAAGATCTGTCATTTTTACAGCTAATTTATAATTCTTTTTGACCATATGACTTAGTGTAGAACGCCACAGACAAGGGGTGAAGGAGACAGACATGAGGTCGGTGATAGAAGAGACAAGTGAGGACATCAGGTAGGAATAAATACATTAGGGAGGCAGCAAAAACATATATACCATAATGGTTTGAGTTTCTGATCACCATCTCTCATTGTGTTCTTTTTTGGGAAAATTGGGAGAATGTGGAACAGAAAGGTGCAGATGAGGGAGAGGAGCAGAGAGGACCAGATGATGAAGAGGGAGAGGAGCAGAGAGGACCAGATGATGAAGAGGGAGAGGAGCAGAGAGGTTCAGATGATGAAGAGGGAGAGGAGCAGAGAGCTGCAGAGGAGAGTGCTGAGACGAGGCTTTATTCAGAAGATCCATCTGAATGGCCTTTACCACACAAAATGGGGGACATATTTAGGCAGTACATGGTTGAAAATGACCCACCGAAAGTTTCTGATGGCCCATATCCAAGAGCAGAGAAGAGTAAGAGGTGTTTTTCCAAAGGATGCTGTTTTCGTTTACTGTCTAATGGAGAGAAAGTTGAACGATTATGTGTTGTCGCCTCCACCTCAAAAATATGTAATTGCGCCCCTGTCTAAAGGTTTAGAGATAAAATTTAGGTCTAAACCAGTGATTGTAATGTCAGAGCTGCAGTGCATGCTGGGAGATGTAGTTCCAGTCTGTTTATATATAGTTTGATAAACAAAAGGATGATTAAAGTAAAGTGTCCTTTATTTAACCACTGATAGACAGTCTTTCTGCTGTTTGTTTTTCCAGACCGCCTGCAGGATTATGTTGGAAAAGAGGAGGATTTTTCTGACCAGCAGCTCTGTGGACAGGAGAGGAATTCCAGTTTGGACCAAGAAGAGCCAAAACCTCTGCAGATGAAACAAGAGCAGCAAGAACCAGAACATCCCTGGACAAAAGAGGAAACCATGGAGGTCCTCATAACTGAGCAGGATGGACAGCTTGTTCTGAAAACAGAGCCTGGAGAGACAGAAGAGGAACATTTCCCATGTTTAACATGTGGAGAGAACTTTCTAAAAACAGAACATTTAATAGATCACACAAGCGCTCACTCAGGTGAGAATAATGAACGTCTGTCCTGTGGAAAATGCATCTCTCAGAAATCAAATCTTGTTACATACACCAGACTTCATACAGATAAGAAACCATTTTCTTGTACTATTTGTTACAAAAGGTTTACTGTCGAATATATATATATATATATATATATATATATATATATATATATATATATATATATATATATATTCAACAGTCATGGAACTGTGCTTACAGCTCCTTCATAATTAATGTACACTAATAACTTGTGTACATGGTTCTTGCTGATGGCATTAAAATAATTTCTAATAGCATTAAAAGAGCATTAAATTAGAGTCACTCATTCCTGTATGAACCCTTTGAACACTTAATTTAAAATAATGCATCAAAAAAATCCCCGTCAGCTTTCAGCATATGTAAAGTTTTTGCTCAAATATTTTTGTTTTGTTGTGGATTTTTGGAACGGGGATAACTAGGATAATTCAACACTGCTTTTTTTTAATGAACTGTTCTCTATTACCAAACTTAGTATCTCTTCATCCATTTCTGCAATAAGAAGTTTCTTTTGACTGGATTTGATTAAACTTTTAAGCCCCTCGGTATAAAATAAATATTTTGCTGGAGATGAGAAATCTGCTTCCTGGTTTGCATCCAATCATTTAATTAAACGCTCTTAGTTTTTTGGAACATATAAGAATTTTGCTCTAATTTCTAGTCACCGATCTGTTGTTTCTATACTTTAATTAAACAAACCGGATCTTCTCAACGTTCTTTTTTCTGTTTGATGCGATTGCAATTGCGGATCTTGACCTGGCCGGACCGGAGCGGAGCAAAAAAATAGCTCGGGTCCTTATTTTGACGGGTGAAGGACGTAGAAGATGTACGTGGGCGGTGACGTGCGGAGGATGTGGAACAGCTCTCATTAAGTAACATGACAGACAGGTACTTTGCATGACGTACATGAGCAGAGCAGAGCGGAGCGCTGAAGGAGTATGTGGAATCTGGGAGTGACTTAGTGCCACTGCAGTAGCTGCAGTGGCATACAGCTGGTCTGCTGGGATTGGGACTTTCGGTGTGGTAGATAAACTGGTTGTTGCAGCTGGAAACTGCTGATGTTTGTTACAGACAGGTGGCTGCATCAATGCCTGTCTAAAAACACTTCCAATGAAATGAAACAGTTTACAAAATATTGTCAGAAATCCAACTTGACTGATATATTTCTGTGTCCACTGAGGAAGAATGTGTTCGAATCACTAAGCAGCATCAGCAGCTGCTGGATCTCATGTTGGGAACATTACTGCAGATCAACTGGTGACACAGAAATCACCTTAAAACCACAGGAACATTACTGTCAATGAGAAGTTTCTGCTTTTAACTAGCATGATTGAAGAAGAAGAAATGAACGTTAATAATTCCCCAGTAAAGGAAACATCTCCCACTATCTTCCATTCTCTGTGAATCAGTCTAACATCAGTCTGCAAAGATCCTGGTCTGTCAGCAGATCCCAAATCTCTGTCATTCACAGTATTATCATAGTGTTTGCTGCAGAAATGGAGCTTTAGTGATGAGACCATAACAGGCTGTTTCTGAACTGGTTTCAGCTGCACCATGTGAACAAGGAGGTTTCTGCATCATCAACGTCCCCTAACCCACACCACAGTGGTTTGATATCCAAGCAGAACATTTTTAATCTAAAAACAGCATAAAGGTTGGAAATCAGCTTCTCCTCTAGAACTGACTGTTTATGCAGCCTGTAGAACAAAAGGCAGAAATAGAGAAACAATCAGATTAAATTGTGACAAACGGGGTCTATAACACAGATGATAGGAGAGATTAGGTGGCTGCAGGGTTGTCCGATTAAAACGAACAAACAAACGAGTCAGAATAAATCTCCTCGTTACTGGCCTCAGATCTATCAAACACGTGTTTGATTTTTGTGAATAATGGGAAGTATTGTGGGAAACTGAAGTGTTGGTTTGTGATTCTATAGTTAAATTCTATTCCCAGCCCGCTGGGAATTTATGTTTCTGATACTTTAAGATGTTTATTGCCCTCCCCTGTGGGGGTGGTAAAATATCTTATTTAATCAAATATTGTTTCGGCTGTTATATACTGTTTATGACACACAGCCCTATTGGCTGTACGTTAGAACAATAAATGAAAGAGTGATTCCAGCTCTAATCATTGTCAAACAGTTAATTCTGCACATACATGGAATAAATTCACCACAACTTCTGTTCAAAATATAAGAGTTTATTAACAAAAATCATTCAGCTCCAAGTCAAACATATTTCAGTTTAACACTCTCAACTAAGTCTAGTAAAACTCAACTAAACTAAACTAACTACTACGTACAAAGAGGAAGGGAAACATGGTTGAAAACCATATTACAGTTTAAGATGGATTTTGTGTTTGAAACCAAAGTTTATCTGGAAGAATTTTGGATATGATCAAATTAGCTTTTCACTAATTTTAAAGAAATTGGAATGTTTTCAGACCAATTCACAATGCAAATCCATGAGGTGAATAAAACATTATTTGGCCAAATAATGTTTTATTGAGTGATTTGCTTAATCAAGAACCAACAACCTTTAGTTAAATGATTCTTTACCCTCTTTGAAATAGCTAGCAGTGAATAGACATCAGGATTCCACTAAATGACTCTTGGTCAAACTTGGTAATGGAAATGTAATGAGTATCTGAGGAACACATGAACACTAATGTTATATCAGTGTTTAAATCCTTAGTAAATAAAGCTTGTCCAAGCTTCAGCAACAGCTCAACACATATTCCTGTAGCATAGCGTAGCATGCAGTCTATTCTTTAGCATCAGTTAGCGTTGTCTTTACTCAGCAGTAAACGCACGATATGATTAGCATCATCAAAAGACACATTGCTTGTTCTGTCCCTAATCATGCCAGACCTGCAAACCTTTTTCCATGTCCGTTTGGAAAGCTCGAGTTTCATCCAGTTTTGCAGCTCTGCAGTCATTGCACAGCAGGGGTCCCCTCAGTCTCAAACCCAGGGCATGGTCTTCATCCAGTTTGGCTCTGTATGTTCTGAAACTCAAGAGAAATGTGTTGCAAAAGTTCTGTTTGCAGCAGTTAGGTTCTGAAGAGTTCTGACTTATCCTTGATGGTTCTGGGGATCTGGTTCCCCTGGGGCCCGCATCTCCACTGTGGGCCACAGTGGGCCCCAGCTTTGAGCGCAGGAGCAGAAGCAGGCTGCATCAGAAGAGGGAGAAAAAGAGAAGAGGCAAAAGATGCAGAATCCTGTGTGCTCTATGGTTTTCTTTGGCTTCACACGGAGGGGGGTAGGTTTTCACACCTCTGGTGGCTTCCATGTGACTTGCCTGTGACTTTGGCTGAAAAGGGGGGGCTGCAGAAGTCCCCCAGCTGTTATCCACCAAAGCTGCGTTCTCTCCTCTGGTCATCCTATCATGATGAAATATGGACACTGCTTCCCAATGTCCAAAAAGTATGATCATGGCATATGGCACAACAGTTGTGATCAAAAGCCTCATTGTGAGCAGGCAGCATCTAGAAGCATCTGAGTCTGCAGAGTCCTGAAAGTTGTGATCCATGTGGATCTGGAAGAATATGGACTGTAAAACACTCCAACACCTGGGATGATGTTTAAATCCATAAATTAGGATTACAGTGCTTTAAATTGGGATTTCTAATTATCATTCTCATTGCTTCATGTGGCTTTTATGACACTGCCATGATCTGTAATCATGTTCAGATTGCCGGAACCACGGATGTCTCCTTGCTGTTCGAGCTCATATTCTAGACGAATAACTCTGTATCACCAGGATTTTAGCTGATTTTAACTGTTCCTGACCTGTGTTTGGTTCAGTGGATCCAGATTCAATTTGAAATAGAATTAAAATCCTCCTCTCTGTGTCACCATATATATATGTATATATATATATTAGGGATGGAACGGTTTATGAAAACCGTCCGAACTGTTCGGTTCAACTGTCTCGGTTCAGTTCACGTGTGTTTCGTTCTGTTCATGCGCTGCTCCTTTTTCTCATAGGCGAAGCGTGTACACTCCAGAGCAGAAGGTGGCGGTACTGCGACCAAAGCCAACCACCAGTAGTAAACAAGAAGAAGAAGCTTAGCCGGGTGTAGCAAAAAAAAATCAGTTGGTGTGGAGAATTGTGTGGGTATGGCGAGTGGGAAAGAACAGGAGTTGGAAGACGCGCCAGCAGCACTTTATAGGTCTGCTGTATGGGAGCGCTTTGCATTTAGAGTGACCTACGATGACGGCGGAAAGAAAGCTGTGAATTAAAGTGCAACAGTGTGTAAGCATTGTGCAACACGTTTTGTTTATGCTAACAGCAACATGACCAACATGTCATGCTAAGCCCTAAATCCCACATACTCCGTCAGCGCTCCGCTGCGCTCCAGACCGCCTGCTCAAAGCAAAGCATACAGCCTCCTCTGTGGCTCCCGTCCGCTCCCCTCTGAGTTCCTTGGAGATGGTAGAGAGCATGCGCGAGATGATTCATTCATTAATTTTTATTTTTTCTATCATTTTTATATTTTTTATAAATTTTTTTATTTTTCGGTGTAACAATCAACATATACAGAACCGAAAACCGTGACCACGAAACCGTGAACCGAATCGTTCCACCCCTAATATATATATATATATATATAAAATCATAAGGTATGCAATTCTTCTATTCAACTCACCGACAGCCTACAGAAGTCATTGGCCAAAACATTTCAGGCGGGTCCAGTTGTTCGAGCATGGGCGTAGGTTTGCATAGGGACCATAGGGACATGTCCCTACCAAAATTTTGGAAGGACCCATTTGTCCCTACCAATAATTGGATGTAAACAACATGTTTATAATTTACTATACAGCAGCCGCTTCTTTTCCTCTCGCAGCTTCTCTGCCTGGTAGCTGCAGCTGCCTGCTCTTTCCTGTCCCTTTCACATAGCAGCGCATCAACTGTGCTGCGCGGTTTAACTCTCTGATTATTCTGCCTTAAGATAGATAGATAG